CGAGGGGCCAAGGTAGGGGCCGAGGGGCCAAGGTAGGGGCCGAGGGGCCAAACAAGGGGCCTAGGGGGCCGAGGGGTCAAGGTAGGGGCCGAGGGGCCTAGGGGGCCGAGGGGCCAAAGTAGGGGCCGGGGGGCCGAGCGCCAATCTCTGAGGTGGGGCCGAGGGGCCTAGGGGCCGCGGGGCCAAACAAGGGGCCGGGGGGGCCTTGGGGGGGCCGAGGGGCCTAGGGGGGCGAGGGGCCAAACAAGGGGCCTAGGGGGCCGAGGGGCCAAGGTAGGGGCCGAGGGGCCAAACAAGGGGCCTAGGGGGCCGAGGGGCCAAGGTAGGGGCCGAGGGGCCTAGGGGGCCGAGTGGCCAAAGTAGGGGCCAGGGGGCCGGGCGCCAATCTCTGAGGTGGGGCCGAGGGGCCTAGGGGCCGCGGGGCCAAACAAGGGGCCGGGGGGGCCTTGGGGGGGCCGAGGGGCCTGGGGGGCCGAGGGGCCAAACAAGGGGCCTAGGGGGCCGAGGGGCCAAGGTAGGGGCCGAGGGGCCAAAGAAGGGGCCTAGGTGGCCGAGGGGCCAAGGTAGGGGCCGAGGGGCCTAGGGGGCCGAGGGGCCAAAGTAGGGGCCGGGGGGCCGGGCGCCAATCTCTGAGGTGGGGCCGAGGGGCCTAGGGGCCGCGGGGCCAAACAAGGGGCCGGGGGGGGCTTGGGGGGGGCCGAGGGGCCTAGGGGGCCGAGGGGCCAAACAAGGGGCCTAGGGGGCCGAGGGGCCAAAGTGGGGGCCGGGGGGGCCGGGCGCCAGGCTCTGAGGTGGGGCCGAGGGGCCTAGGGGCCGCGGGGCCAAACAAGGGGCTGGGGGGGCCTTGGGGGGGCCGAGGGGCCTTGGGGGGGCCGAGGGGCCTAGGGGCCGCGGGGCCAAACAATGGGGCCAGGCGCTGGGCAGGTACTGGGCCGGGCGCTGGGCAGGTACGGGGCCGGGCGCTGGGCAGGTACGAGGCCTGGCGCTGGGCAGGTACGGGGCCGGGCGCTGGGCAGGTACGGGGCCGGGCGCTGGGCAGGTACGGGGCCGGGCGCTGGGCGCGGAATGGGGCCGGGCGCGGGGCTAGGTACGGGGTCGGGCGCGGGCAAGAGACAGGGCCGGGCGCTGGGCGAAGGACGGGGCCAGGCACGGGCTTGGTACGGGCCGGGCGACGGGCTAGGTACGGGCCGGGCGCAGGCAGGAGACGAGGCCGGGCGCGGGCTAGGTACGGGCCGGGCGACGGGCTAGGTACGAGCCGGGCGCGGGCGTCGAAGTTGACGGGGCCAGCGGGGCCGAGGTGACGGACTACGTACGGGCCGGGCGACGGGCTAGGTACGGGCCGGGCGACGAGCTAGGTACGGGCCGGGCGCGGGCGACGAAGACGACGGGGCCAGCGGGGCCGAGGCGACGGGCTACGTACGGGCCTGGCGACGAGCTAGGTACGGGCCGGGCGCGGGCGACGAAGTCGACGGGGCCAGCGGGGCCGAGGCGACGAGCTAGGTACGGGCCGGGCGACGGGCTAGGTACGGGCCGGACGCGGGCGACGAAGTCGACGGGCTAGGTACGGGCAGTGCAGTAGGTGGTGGGCCCATTGAGACTAGGTCCTAAGACTTAGTTGCTCTTAATACCATGTTAGAATCTTAGGAAAGGAATGATCGACTAGGAAAGGGGAGGGGTACAAGTAGAATGTCGAGAGAGATTCTGTACCCCCTAAGGCTAAACCCACTATAGCCTAGACAACTGTAAACACATAAACTAAGCCTAGATATAACTAAGCATATATGTTTGACATACCTGAGACACACCTGAGGGAGCAGGACCCTGAGGGGGGAGGGGGTCTACCGGAGGGGGACAAGGAGCAAGAAAGAGCGGCGGGGGTGGGAGAGGGGCAGAGCGGAAGGGGAAGAGACGGTAGAAGGGAACCGACTCGTCAAACGTGACGTCCTGAGAGGGCAGGACACGGCGCGAGGTGGGGTGGTAAATATGCCAGCCAGGCGTGTCAGGGGGAAAGCCAAGGAAGATGCAGGGAATAGCGCAGGAGGAGAGCTTCTCCGCGGACGTATCGCGAACAAAGGCACAAGAGCCCCAGACCCGGAACACCGACTCATCGCCAACCTTCTCCGTCCAACGCAGTGTAGGGGAGGTCTCCGGCAAGGAGACACGAGGCCAGAGGTTGAGCTGATGTGCAGCGTACCAGACCGCAAACGGCCACAGAAAATGGGGAGCAGCCGCATGGATCATGGAGGTACGAGCCACCTCCATGACTAAGCCAATGCGGCGCTCAGCAACCCCATTTTTCTGCAGGGAGGCCGGAAGCGTTAACGACTAGAGGATGCCCTCCCCACGACAAAAGTCCCACAAGAGGTCGGAGGAGAACTCACCACCTCTGTCAGAGTGCAGACGCAGGACAGGAAGGTCCTCGCGGAACCGCTCGCGGAGCTGGAGACGGACTCCGCGGATCCAAGGGATCAAGACATCAGGGACCTCACCCTTGCTGCGCAAGAGGAAGACTGTGGTGTAACGCGTGTAGTCGTCAACAACCAGCAGAAAGTAGCGCTCGCGGCCCTGTCCACTGACGCGGGCTGGGCCCCACACGTCCATGTGGAGAGTCTGCAGGGGAGCAATCGTCGAGGGAAACGAGGAGGAGTGAGGAGCGGCGCGCTGCCACCCCTCGACGCAAGGAAGGCAGGGCGGGCAGGCGAGGGCGGGAGGGGAGGCAGAGACCTGGGAAGACCAGAAACAAGGAGGCGGGAGTGCATGCCACAAAGGCGTGGCAGGGAGGGGTGACCAGGTCGGTGGTGCCACAGGAGATTCTGGTGCGACAGGAGGCAACACGAGCAGGGGGGTGCTACCGGACCTGACGCAGACACCTGGGTAGATGCAGCTACCTGAGGAGGCTCGGTAGCCAGTGTGTACAAACACGTGGCCAGGTGACGGTCCGTCCGTGTACACGGGCAGATCGACACACGCTGACCCCCAGGAGTGGTGGTAGTGACCATCGCATCCTGGAGTGCAGCGGTACTCACCAAGTTCGTAGAGAACGAGGGGAGGTGAAGACCTGACAGTGAGCCGGACGGAACCGCCGGACATGGGAGAACAGTGGAGGAACGGGCAAGAACTGGGCCCCCTGAGGGGTCAGCCAATCGGACCGGTACAGGTGCAGAGAGAGGAGTGAGGGTGGTACTGTCGCGAAAGAAACAACGGGAAGCACCTGAGTCAAGTGTAAAGGTGTGCAAGGCCTCAGCAGGCGCTGTACCAGGGAGAGCAAACTCACTAGCACCTAGAGCAGCAGCCTCTATACCTGGGTCGTGCGGCACACACAGGTAACAGTCACCCCCAACACTAACAGACAAGGCATATATTGCAGCAAGGATAGCATTATAGTCAAGAGCAAAGATATCAACTCCAGACCTAAGCAGCTCTGCCCAGCGGGGCCGCTCAGCCTCGTCACCAAACTCTGCGCGCCAAGCGTCGTCTAGGCGGGAGAAGCAGCGGTGCTGAGAGTGAAACTTCCTGCATGTCTGACCAGCACGGTCACCCGTGCGAATGACATACGGGCACCGAACACTACCCCCAGACGCCCCACGCTGAGCAAACCACTCACGAAGCTACTGGGGAGAAGGGGTCTCGCTCCGACGCTGCTAATGTTGCCCCTGGCCACTGCCAGAACCTCCCCTCTGAACAGCTCCAACCCGACTGCCACCACTCCCACTGCCACCACTACCGCCACCCCCACCGCTGCCACCACCGCCACCACCAAAGCCCCCACTCCCGTCACCACTCCCACCGCTGCCACCACCTCCACTCCCTCCACCACCTCCACTGCCGCCCCCACCACCACCCCCGCTGCCACCGCCACTACTCCTGCCACCGCCACTACTCCTGCCACCCTTGCCCTTGCTACTGCGGCGCTTCTTACTAATAGCAGAAGCAGCCCCCACATCCTCAGCACCAGGGATGTCAACAGCAGCAGCAGAGGCGTAGGAGGGGGCAAGGGGGGAGGGGGAACACCCCTCAAAGAAGGGCGTGCGAGGAGTGCCAAGAGCGGCACCTACAGCGACTACGCTAGTCTCAGCTGCAAGGAGGTGCTTCTCGAGCAGGTCGACAGTGAGGTGTATGGGGTCAAGTGCGAGAAAGTGGTCCCTGACTGTGCGAAGAGAGTCAGGGAGGCGGGTGACTATGAAGTAGAGAGTGATGTACATCGGGGGCGGGTTCCTGTTAAGGAACTCTGCTGGGAGGGCAGCGCGATAGCGAGCGTCGCTGGTGCAAAGGTGGGTAACGAGGTCCTCTACTGTGGCAAAGGCGGACTGCTCGGGAAACAGGTAGGTGCTAGAATAGTAGGTAAAACGAGGCTTAGGAGAAACCATAGCTAAGGAGGATGTTGAGAGAAAAAGTTGAGAAGGGATGAATGCACTATAGGAAGAACAGTACATATAGGCAAGAGCAAGGGGTGCACCACCAACAAGTATGAACCTACACTACAGTTAATGCAAAGGACAGTTTACATAAAATATGTTTTCAACACACCCCCTAAACTGTTCATAGCAATAACCAGTGCAGTCAACACCCCCTGAAGGGGTACACCCAAGGCAGAGCGCAGCAGAAGTAGGAGAGGGCATGTGAGGAGGAGAAGAGAGAGAGAGAGATGAGGAGAGGAGGTGGGGGGAGCCAAGCGCGGCTAGCCCCTCTTACGAACCCCCTCATTACAAAGGGGGAGGTGAGAGAGAGAGAGGGAGAGAGATGAGGAGAGGAGGTGGGGGGAGCCAAGCGCGGCGAAACCCCTCTTACGAACCTCCTTTTTACAGAGGGGGGGGGGTGAGACAGGGAGGAGAGGAGGTGGGGGGGAGCCAAGCGCGGCGAGCCCCTCTTACGAACCTCCAATTCCACACCCTTTGTCAGCCACCCCCCTAAACCTCACCCCCCCCCCCCTGTTCAACCACCCCCCAAAACCGCACCCTTCTTTCAGCCACCCCCCAAACTACACCCCTTCCTCCACCCCCTCACCCTCCCCCCTTACCCCACTGCAATAGGCGCGCAGGGCTGCAGGGCGCGCGGGGCGCACAGGGCAGTAGGTCAGTAGGGCGCGCGGGGCACAGCAGGGCTGCAGGGCGCGCAGGGCTGCAGGGCAGCAGGGCAGCAGGGGGCGCAGGGCGAACAGGGCAGCAGGGCGCACAGGGCTGCAGATCTCCTCCTGCCTCCCCCTGAACCTCCAAGCTCCCCCCCCCTCCCAACACAAGGTGCGGCAGGGAGAGAGAGAGGAGAAGGGGGGGCGGGGGGGGGGCTGATGCTGCAAATCCCCTCCCCCCCACTGCTGCACCCGCAGCAGGGAGACAGAGAGGAGAAGGGGGGGCGGGGGGGGGCTGATGCTGCAAATCCCCTCCCCCCCACTGCTGCACCCGCAGCAGGGGGAGGAAGGAGAAGGGGGGGGGGGGGGGGCTGGTGCTGCAGATCCCCTCCGGCCTCCCCCTGAACCTCCAAGCTCCCCCCCTCTTCCCAACACAAGGTGCGGCAGGGAGAGAGAGAGGAGGAGGCGTGGCGGCAGCTGCTGCTGCTGAGGCACATCCGCCACCCCCTCACACCCTCTCCCCCCCGTCCCCATGGAGGGGGGGGAGGGGGGGGAGGGGGGCGGGGGCGGAGCTGCGCGTGCGACTGCAGGGCACGCTGGCAGGAAGAAACCGTCACCCCTCTTGCCACCCCCTTACCCTCCATGATGCGACGGGGCACCGGGGCCGTGGCTAGGGGCGACAGGTCGCTAGGGGCCGAGGCTAGAGGCGACGGGGCCGCGGTTAGGGGCGGCAGGTCGCGAGGGGCCATGGCTCGGGGCGACGGGGCGAAGGGGCCGAGGCGACGGGGCGACGGGGCCAACGGGGCCGAGGTGCGCGGCTAGGGGCGACGGGGTCGACGGGGCCAGCGAGGCCGAGGGACGCGGCTAGGGGCGACGGGGCCAACGGGGCCGAGGTGCGTGGCTAGGGGCGACGGGGTCGACGGGGCCAACGAGGCCGAGGGGCGCGGCTAGGGGCGACGGGGCCAACGGGGCCGAGGTGCGCGGCTAGGGGCGACGGGGTCGACGGGGCCAACGAGGCCGAGGGGCGCGGCTAGGGGCGACGGGGCCAACAGGGCCGAGGTGCGCGGCTAGGGGCGACGGGGTCGACGGGGCCAACGAGGCCGAGGGGCGCGGCTAGGGGCGACGGGGCCAACGGGGCCGAGGTGCGCGGCTAGGGGCGACGGGGTCGACGGGGCCAACGGGGCCGAGGGGCGCGGCTAGGGGCGACGGGGCCAACAGGGCCGAGAGGCGCGGCTAGGGGCGACGGGGTCGACGGGGCCAACGGGGCCGAGGGGCGCGGCTAGGGGCGACGGGGCCAACGGGGCCGAGTGGCGCGGCTAGGGGCGACGGGGTCGACGGGGCCAACGGGGCCGAGGGGCGCGGCTAGGGGCGACGGGGCCAACGGGGCCGAGTGGCGCGGCTAGGGGCAACGGGGTCGACGGGGCCAATGGGGCCGAGGGGCGCGGCTAGGGGCGACGGGGCCAACGGGGCCGAGTGGCGCGGCTAGGGGCGACGGGGCCAACGGGGCCGAGAGGCACGGCTAGGGGCAACGGGGTCGACGGGGCCAACAGGGCCGAAGGGCGCGGCTAGGGGCGACGGGGTCGACGGGGCCAACAGGGCCGAGGGGCGCGGCTAGGGGCGACTGGGCCAAGGGGCCGAGGGGCTCTAGCTAGGGGCGACGGGGCCAAGGGGCCGAGCCTAGGGGCTAGGGGCGACGCCAAGGGGCGACGGGCTGGGGCCTAGGCTAGCAGGGCAGTAGGTGGTGGGCCCACGAATGTTAGGTCCTAGGAACGACCTACTCTGATAGCATGCTAGAATAGTAGGTAAAACGAGGCTTAGGAGAAACCATAGCCAAGGAGGATGTCGAGAGAAAAAATTGAGAAGGGATGAATGCACTATAGGAAGAACAGTACATATAGGCAAGAGCTAGGGGTGCACCACCAACAAAGTATGAACCTACACTACAGTTAATGCAAAGGACAGTTTATATAAATTATGTTTTCAACAGTAGGGCAATAGAAGACGGCCTAGAGCAGCAGTGGCAGGGGAGGAGTAACGGGCGACTACAGCGTCGTACAGTGCTTTAGCAGTCTTGTGCTGTCCGAAGTGAGCGCTTTCGGCTAACGGCAGGTGGTTGCGAACGGCTGAGCGAGCAGCAGCATCACGGGTAAGCCACTGTGAGCGATTTGCACTGTCAGCTGTTGCGGGAGGGGCGAGAGAGGCTCCAGGCGTGTGGTCAAACAACGAAACGCTGTCTCTAGAATCGCTCGGTAGGTACAGCTGTAAGTCGTCGAGCCACGTATCGAACTGGATCGGACGGCCCTCATGATCGAAGGTGAGTACACTGAGAGAAGCCATAGCTGGCAGAGCAGGGTGGCGCGCGACCAGCAGAGCAGCACGCAGGCAGGGCGGCGCGCGAGCACTAGGGAAGTGCGCAGGGCAAGGCAGGGCGGCGCACGGCTAGGGCGACCAGCAGGGTGGCGCACAGCAGCAAGGCGGGCACGCGGGCTGCAAAAAGGGCGGCGAGCGGGCTGCCAGAGGGCGGCGTATGGGCTGCCAGAGGGCGGCGAGCGGGCTGCAAGGGGCAGCGAGCAGGCTACCAGAGGGCGGCGAGCGGGCTGCAAGAGGCGGCAAGTGGGCCGCAAGGGGCGGCAAGCGGGCTGCAAGGGGCGGCGCGCAGGCTGCAAGAGGGCGGCTCGCGGGCTGCAAGGGGCGGCGAGCGGGCCGCAAGCGGGCGGCCAGCAGGCTGCAAGGGCGGCGAGCGGGCCGCAAGGGCGGCAAGCGGGCCGCAAGCGGGCGGCGAGCAGGCTGTAGGGGCGGCGAGCTGGCCGCAGGCGAGCGGCGAGCGGGCTGTAGGGGTGGCGAGCGGGCCGCAAGCGGGCGGCAAGGGCGGCGAGCGGGTCGTAAAGGCGGCGAGCGGGCCGTAAGGGCGGCGAACGGGCCGTAAGGGCGGCGAGCAGTCCATATGGGCGGCGAGCGGGCCACAAGGGCGGCGAGCGGGCCGAAGGGTGTGAGCGGGCCGCAAGCGAGCAGCGAGCGGGCTGTAGGGGCGGCGCGCGGGCCGCAAGCGAGCGGTGAGCAGGCCGCAGGGGCGGCGAGCAGGCTGAAGGGGCAGCGCGCGGGCTGCAGGGACAGCGCGCTGGCTGCAGGGGCGGCTCGCGGGCTGCTAAGGGCGGCGCGACGGGCTGCTAGGGGCGGCACAGCGGCCAGCAGGGCGGCGGGCCATTAGGGCAGGGCTGCAGGGCAGCTAGTGGGGCAGCTCTGTGGTGGTCCCTAAAAATAAAATTTCGGTCCTAGGGAAGGACCTGCTCTGAAACCATGTCAAACTAAAGAACGAGAATGAATGAACTATGAAAGAGTTGGGTAGAAGTACTAACCCTAATTGTGTCGAAAACAAATGCGCACAGAACACACACAAAATGCGGGACTTCATGCAGGCGGCTGGTTGACGTGCAAAAATAATATTTGCACCCAACAAAAAAGAGGGTACCTACATTTTCCAGAAATTTTGTGTGAATTTGGACCTTCCCTTTCGTTGTCTGTGGTCGAGACACCTTAAAAACAACACGTCAATGCCTTCGTATTGTGTTGGAAAGATAGTTGTGCCTTGGGATAGGATGTATCTGACTCTTTGGGTGTTATCCATTAGCCCTCCCTCATACCTTTGCCAACGATACAAAAAGCACGAAAATATGGCACCTTGCAGCACTCTTCACTGCTGCCACACAGAACCTCGTTTTCCAGGAGTATAAAAGCAAAACCAAGTAGCCAGAGCTACGGTGCTCCTAAGCTGCATCATCCACTGCAGCACCTGCTGCTGGCACACCTTCTACAGTGACCCCCTTTGAAGCTACATCCTCCACACTCACACCGTCTGGAGCCACACCCTCCACAGTCACACCCTCCACAGTCACACCCTCCACAGTCACACCCTCCACAGTCATACTCTCCACAGTCATGCCCTCCACACCCTCTACAGTCACACCCTCTAGAGTCAACCCAAGCATCCAAGCATCCAGCCCGGCGTTGCCTGACTGTGCAGATGGAGCAGCAGAAAACTACTGGATGTGACTCATCATCGCATTCCACTCCTCTGCATCCCCATGCTCCCCTTCCTCCCCTGTCTCTCCAGACCACCCTGCTGCCTCCTGTCCCCGGCACACCGGAAGGCATCTGAGTGTAGCGGCATCCTCTCATGAACATTTGGGAAGCCATTTGAAAACCCATTTGGGATGCCATTTGGGAAACCATTTGGGAACTCAAACTCGTCTTTGATCAGCTCTGCCCGATCATCTTCTCCTGCGATTGGTGCCTCTTCAAGAGCATCTCCAATCAGCACTACCAGGTTGCTTGCTCTTGCCAAGACCCGTGTCTCTTCCAGAGCGTCCAGAAGAAGCAAAGGCTCATGTGTAATCTCTGGAGCATTAGGGGCATCTCCAATAAGCGCTGCCAGTTTTCTTTCTCCCATTGTGAGCCGTACCTCTTCCAGAGCATTCATGAGCACCAAAGGCTCTCTCTCTGTGATTTCCCTGCGATCCATGATTCTTCCGTAGAATCCCTAAGCCGCAAAGGCTCTCCACCTGCAATTTCTGGAGCATTAGGGGCATCCCAGATCAATGCTGCTAGATCTCCCGCTCCCCCCATCATCAATTCCTGCTCTTGCAGCAAATGCTTTCCACGTCTGAACATCATCCTCTGCAGCACTTGCTCTCACACCCTTTGCAATCACACCCCCTGCTGTCACACCTTCCACAGTCACACCCTCCACAGTCATACCCTGCAGTCATCCATCAAGTGGCATTATGTCCTCCAGTAGCCAAGTGTCCATCCCAGCATTGCCTGACTCAGAAGATGCAGCAGCAGCAACCTCCTGCATGTGGCTCAGAACCACATCCCACTCCTCTGCATCCCCTTGCATCCCTTCCTCTCCTTCCTTCCTCGACTTCTCCCCACGCTCCACTTCCTCCCCTTTCTTTCCAGACTGCCCTGCCGGCTTCCTGTCCCCAGCACAACCAAAGCCATCTGATCGTAGCTCATGCTCGCTTCCGATCAGCTCTGCCCGATCATCTTCTCCTCCTGCGACCAGTGCTTCTTCTCCTCCAATCAGCGCTGCCAGATTTCTTGCTCCTCCCACGGCCCGTGTCTCTTCCAGGGCATTCCCGAGCACCAAACGCTCCGCCTCTGTGATTTCCAGAGCATCCCCAATCACCACTGCCATATTGCCTGCTCCTCCTGCTACCGGTCCCTCTTCCAGAGCATCCTCGAGCAGCAAACGCTCTCCATCTGCCATCACCGAACCATCAGAGGTATTCCCAATCAGCACTGCCAGATTGCTTGATCCACCCACGACCCGTGTCTCTTTCAGAGAATTCCCATGCAGCAACGGCTCTCCATCTGCAATTTCTGGAGCATTAGGGGCATCCCCAGTCAATGCCGCCAGATCTCCCGCTCCCCCCATCACCAATTTCTGCCCTTGCAGCAAACGTTTTCCATGTGCAATCTCCGGAGCTACAATCTTCGAGCTACAATCAAGGGCAGCAAGCTGCGAGCCAAGAGCCGTGATCTCATAGCTGGCAGGAGAAGGGTAAGGTGGTTTTGCAAATGCACGTGCCCATGCCGCTCTGTTTTTATACCCTGCAGCTGCACATGCACTCTCTCTTGAGTCGAGGGCCGTCATGTATGTCTTCTCTGCATTTACACACACACTTTCGCCTGAAATCAAATTCATGAAGCATCCACGAGAATAATTATCCTCATCCTCCCTTCCATCGCCCCTACCATCCTCCCCTCCATCATTTTCCTCCCCACTCCCCTCCGCGCTCTCCTCCTCAGGTTCTTCTCGGTCCTGCTCCCGGCCCCACTTCTCCTACTCCTTCCCATCCACACTCCTCGCAGAAACCGGCTCCCCTTTTGATTCTGATCCATTCATGCTGAAATTTCAAGACCCTTCCCATACTGGTGCATCAATTCTAGGGCATGACGACTCTTCCCCACCCACACCACCATGACACATCCCACCCACATTTTGATCGTACTTATCACCACCAGCAGAATCAGAAATTCCACGCACATCCACAGCTCGTTTTGAGGGTCTTCTCCTTCCGGCCCTCTCCCTGTCATAATCCCTCTCTCCACCACTGCCCGCCTGCTCCTCGGGCAGCGGAAAATTTGTCTTTGCGCGGGGCCCGCGGAGCTCCCGGGCAGCTTGGTCGAATGCACGGGCAGCAGCTTCAGTAGTGGAAAATGTTCCGAGCCACTTGCGCACATTGTTAGCTGTGTCCTCTATTTCTGCAACCCAGTGGCCTGCCTTTCTCTGCCGCACTCCGCGGTATTTGGGGCAAGAAGTAGAGAGAGGTGAGGACTTGCGTTTCTGCTGCTTACATTGCTGCTGATGCTGGGATTGCTGTTGCTGCTGCTTCTGCTGCTGTTGCTGTTGCTGTTGCTGCTGCTGCTACTGTTGCTGGGATTGTTGTTGCTGTTGCTGCTGCTGCTGGGGTTTCTGGTCTTGCGCCTCCAATGCAGTCTGTTCCTCTGCTGCTGCTGCTGCTGCCTCAGTTTGTGCTTTCTTTTCAGTTCCCTGTGAGAGACGTGATCTTCCTTTATGAATGTTGGCAGGTGTGTTGAAAACACATCTCAACGATCTGCGCCGTCCATTATGTCTGCGTCTCTCCTGCGGCCAATCTACTGAAAAATGGACTCGATTCTGAGCGGTTCTACTAGTAGCGGCAACTGGTGGCACCTGTGGAGTCAAGATTCTTGCCACACGGGCAAGGGTCAGTAGTAACTCCGTTTCCAGCCCATGATTCTGGTTTCCTTGCTCAGTAAACTGCCCGTTATCAGCCTGGCGGCACGAGTCGAACCCAGGACCTCCAAGCGGAGCAGACAAGGTGGGATTGGGGCTATTGTGAGCAGCTGGATGTACGGCGGACGGCTGGCCGTCAAGTTGACGGTTTCTATCTGCTTTTTGCAGCCTGTCCGCCAAAAGGTGCGTGAGAAGATTCGAGAGCGCGAGGAACGCTTGTTTGAGAGCGACATTGAATCCTAAATCGGAATCGGATCCGTTGCAGAGGCTCTGCACGCCCGCATCACCGTTTTCCCCCAGCCTCGTCGGAGTGAGATCTTTCAGCTCGTGGGAGGAGGATTCCTCGCCGGAATGCTCTCCTCTCGCTGGGTGGAAAATGTCCATAATGTTATCTCTTCTGGAGTTCACGCCAATGGCACTCAATTGAATCGACGCTTTGAAGAATGGAGAGGAGAGGGGACACGAGCACTACTCGTGGGTAAACAGCCTGTATGAAAGTCTCTGAGGAAACCAGCAGCACCCTGAAGACGCACCCACTTCAGGACTAGATCTGGAAAGTTTTCTCAATCGACTTTCTGATGTGCCACATAAGGTGCTGGGGCCACCGTCGCTCTTTGGAGTGCCCCAATCTTTCGTTATCCCTGAGTACCCTACCCAACAATCTCATATCCTGAAATGACCGCTCTATTCCGTGAGCCACCTCATTCGACCGCATTCACACGAACCGAACCTACTAGGCTGCGTTGAAAGTGGTTGCACTACGATGATCTTCGTAGTGCTGGGACGTGCTGGGAATGTGTTATATGCGACCTTATTCCCTAGGAAGAGTTGACGGCGACCTGGCGCTTGTAACTCTCTCCACTGGCAGTCATCTCGTGCTACGCGCAACAGACTCTGTTGATGCGTGGACTTTGAATCGGGTCCACGATAACAGCCAGATTTTAGCGGTCAGCAGGGTTTGCTTCAGAAAGCTCAGCTGGAATACTACTACTAGTCTACTTGTTGGAATATTGGGATGAATGGGATTATGAGGATGCTCTTGTAACTAGATTGCGCTTGAGGATTGTCTAGATTGCGCTCAACTTGAGCAGGGCAAAAAAAAAAAAAAAAAAAAAAAAAAAAAAAAAAAAAAAAAAAAAAAACCTTTTGGTAGGGCTGCCTAATTTTGCGAGCGAGTCGCACAATGCTAGCTTACAGCGCAGTCCCGCACAACAGCAAAAATCATGTCATGCCCATTCTACGTGCCAAATCGTTGAGCCGTAGACTCCGTGCCAGGCTGTGCACAGTATGGGCTTCAATGGTCAACCATCAGTTGTTGACGGGAGTCAGCGATTTCTTCACCCATTCGAGAACGTGCACTGTATCTTTTTTAGCATGTGCAAGCCTTGATTGGCTGGTGACTTGGGTAAGGAGAGAAAGGGTCCTTTTGGTTATGGTGCGGTGCGGGATTTTTTTTGGTCAACTTTACGTTTTTTCGTACAAGCCAACGAGTGGTGGTACGACTCCCGTCAACATCGACACTCGTGGTGTGCCCGTAAATGGACATCGTCAACCCTCCCGCAAATTGTCAACGACTCTACAATACATCAAGCCACATTACTTCGGGCACGCTTAGGGTCATACACCCTGTTTTTCGCTATTGTGGATTCCGGTATACTGAACCCTGTGGCTCAACGCGCCAAAGGACGCGCTATAGTCAACTTTTGCACCAGTGCGGTTTGACGAGGTCAGTTACTTTTGAAGACGGTCGGATGAACTTTAATATGGCTCAGTAGGGTACCTAGGATAACGAAATTTCGGATCACCCACCTCCTAGAGACGGTTATTGTAAACTTTCCGAATACGTCCAAAGAACAGTTCCACTGTTCAGTGTGTTTCCACACTTAAGTGTAGCGAGAAACAGTGTGTACAACGGAGCGCGTTTGAATAACGTTACACCCTGTTTCTAGCTACACTAGACCGCGTAAGAACGCTACTGTTCCTTGGCAGTATTCGGAATTTTGCTGATAACGAAACCAGTCAATTGTCCCTAGCAGGCCGGTGTTGTGAGGGGGAGTTAAATAATGCATTTTGCTTAGATACCCTATCCAGCCTTTCCAAAATGTCAAGGAACCTTTCTAAAACGTAACGCATCGCACTGGATCGCCTTGGTTGAAAGTTCACTATAACGCGGATGATCTGTACGGGGTGAGTTTCTAATAACATCGAATGCAGTATACCGGAATCCACAATAGCGAAAAACAGGGTGTAGTGAAAATTCTCTCGGCCAATATCATACATACTCAAAGTTTGCATGTGCGCTTTTGCAGGTGTAATCAAATTAACATTAAGCCAAACAGTATCACTGTGCATAGCAGAAAATTGTCCAGACGCGCCACTCTGGCAGCTACAACAGCTGACGCAACTCGGTCCACTACAGTAGCACAGCAGCGGCAGCTGCGTCAGCAGAAGACCCTCTCGCTGCAGCAGCTTCGCGAGTGGGTTTCTCAGCGACGCGTCCCTGGTAGTGTAGAGGCTACTAGTCTAGGTGCCTGTGAGCCTGCTACCATAGGTGCACCTTCAGTGGAGGCTTTGCACACCTTCACGCTTGACTCAGGCATGACTCGCTGCTTCTTCCGCGACTGCACAACAGTCACACCGCTCACTGCACTTGTCCCGGTCTCTCTGGCTAACCCCTCTGGAGGCCTAGTCATAGCACGTGCCTCCACCGTTCTCCCGTGTCTGGTAACACCCTCAGGCTCCCTCACAGGTTTCCACCTCCCCTCGTTCTCTAAGAAATTGGTGAGTAATGCTGTCCCCAGGACCAGTTTGTCACTGTGACTACTCCTGGGGGTGAGCTTGTGGCGATCTGTATGGACTCATGCACTGGCGAGCACCTCGCTACTTTCACTAAGAGCCCTGGGTCTAGCCTATACACACTGACCACTGAGTCTGCACAGGTAGCTGCGTCGGGTCAGTTAGAAGCGTCTTGTTCGTGTCGGCTACTCTCGCACCAGACTCTCCTCTGGCACCACCGTCTTGGTCACCCCTACCTACCGCGCCGGCGTGGCATGCATCCGCGTCTCCTTATCTCTGGCCTCCCCAGGTCCCTGCCCCCGCTCCCGCGCTCGCTTGCACCGCCGTGCCTTCCTTGCGTCGAGGGGCGACAGCGCGCCGCTCCTCACTCCTCCTCGTTTCCGCCGACCACTGCTCCTTTGCAGACTCTCCACATGGACGTGTGGGACCCGCCCGCGTCCGTGGACAGGACCAGGAGCGCTACTTTCTGCTGGTTGTTGACGACTACATGCGCTACACCACGGTCTTCCTCTTGCAGAGCAAAGCGGATGTCCGCGGTGTTTTGATCGACTGGATCACCGCTGTTCCTCGCCAGCTGAGCGCACGGTTTCAGCAGGACCTCCAGGTCCTACGACTACACTCTGACAGAGGCGGTGAGTTTTCCTCCCGCCTCCTTGAGGACTTCTGCCGTGCGGAGGGCATCGCCCAGTCGTTCATGCTTCCGGCCTCCCCACAGCATAATGGGATTGATGAGCGTCGCATTGGCTTGATCATGGAGGTTGCTCGCACCTCTATGATCCATGCGGTTGCTCCCCATTTTCTGTGCCCGTTTGCGGTCCGATATGCCGCGCATCACCTCAACCCCTGGCCCCGTGTCTTTG